CTGTGATTTCCAGATAAAAGCAGCCACATAAGATTTTGGTTAAAATAAGCAGCCCATTTTATGCCTCACATCGAGGAAGCAACCATGGAAAGCTGATATTTCTTTAGACTTTTAAAAAGAAGTTTCTTAGGTTTTGCGTAAGATGAAGAGGTAAACAAAGTCACAAGTGTGTATGTCAGACGGATTTGATCACTTATAAAATACTTTTTTGATAACATATGATTTTTATGATTATAGTTACTGCATAAACTTTTCTAAAAACAAAAGGGTCGTCGTAATATGTCCTGTATTTACATTCTCATTTTCCCTCTCTTTAAATAATAGGGAGATTTACTCAGATGTTATACATTTTATATGAAATTACCAGAAACATACAGATCTTTTTTTTATTACTATCATATTTCGGGTATATTTTTATACCCAGCGTGCCCCTGTTAAACGTTACAGGAAAAAACGTAATTACAAAGAATGCCACTGCCACGTCAGCAAAGCCGCGTCGCCACGTCAGAAATCGCTGACGTGTATTAATGAACTCAGCCGTCGAGAGATATAGCGGCAGTGACGGCTGAGTTACGGTATGTTGCGGCTGATTTAAGAAAAATGGCTGAGTTATGAGCAAACGGCTGACTTACGAGTATAACCCAGCCTGGAGTTACGGCTGACTTACTGAAATCTGTCTGAGTTATGATAAAATGGCTGACTTTCGAGCATAACCCAGCCTAAGTTACGGCTGAGTTTTCACCCGATGGTTGATTTGTCAAATTTTTGGCTGAGTTATTGCTTCGACACGGCTGACTTAACTTTCTCCGGCTGGCTGAGTTATCAAAGACGGCTTAGTTATGGGATGACGTTACGGCTGATTTATGTTCGAGTATCATAAATCAGCCGTAATGAGCTGGATTAACGGAAAACTCGGCCTTATTATGGCTGACTTAGTAGCGAAAGATTAATTACTAGAATAGCATGCAATGACGGCCGACTTATTAAACGACACGACTGAGTTAAATATTTTTGGTTGAGTTACGACAGTAAACGGCTGAATTTGGCTACCGTTTTTTCGTTTTTTAATTACTGTAATAGTATTCATGTTGCGGCTGAGTTAAAGTTTTGTTTGATGGCTGGTTTAATTAAGCTGATTTACATTTTCGTTTGGTGGCTTACTTGCCACTTCATCAATTAAAAAATGACGTGGATGCAACATTCCATGTCATCATCATCAAAGGACAAAAAAATAGGGCCAAATTTTTTCAACTCGTCTTCTTCACCTGAGTTTATCACATCACCGGAACTTCCAATTCCTCATCGTCTTCCTCATTCTTCTTCAATTTCTTTCATCCTTCTCCCGATATGGTTGATCCGGTTCCGGTAATTGGGTATAAAAACACAAATACGTATTTAACACCGATGAAAGAGGGTGTAGAGTTGTGCAGATAGATGCGAAAACAACGCACGAAAAACTTGTGAAGTTGGTGCTCGATGATAAAGTTAGAGGAAATGTTGCGTCTCTTATTGTTTCGCTGCAAATTTACATGTCACGGCTGAGTTATATGCTTAAGGGAAGACGAAAGGTTCGGTCAATTTACATGTCACGGCTGAGTTATATGTTCCAGGGAAGACGAAAGGTTCGGTAAAATTACATTACGGCTGAGTTATATGCTTAAGGAAAGACGAAAAGTTCGGTCAATTTACATGTCACAGCTGAGTTATATGTTCCAGGGAAGACGAAAGGTTCGGTAAAATTACATTACGGCTGAGTTATATGTTTAAGGGAAGACGAAAGGTTCGGTAAATTTACATGTCACGGCTGAGTTATATTCTCCAGGGAAGACGATAGATGGGTGTAAATTATATGTTACGGGTGAGTTATATGCTTCAGGGAAGACGAAAGGTTCGGTAAATTACATGTCACGGCTGAGTTATCATTCAGGGAAGACGAAAGGTTGTGTAAATTATATGTTACGGCTGAGTTACATCACGTTACGGCTGAGTTACATCACTTTACGGCTGATTTATAATACAGATCGGAAAGCAACATTTTTTTGGAGAAGACAATATGAAATTTATTGGTCAAATAACAACAATCAAATTAAGATTCGTAAAAATATGTTTGAGGGATACATAGGAGGAAGACTAAACCGTATGAATCAAAACATAGATAGAAGTAGAAATGTCTCCAAATAGATCGATTGAGAGGAAGATTAAACGAGAGACATGTAAAATCAAAGTAAAAGAGTAGCTATTCTTGATTTCAACTCAAACCTGTAACGAATCATGTAGAATTCCATAGATCTCTTTGTTTTGGGTTTTGATTTTTGATGACTTTTTTCGTGAGCGTGGTTGCGAGTAGATCTGACGAAGCTTTTGATTTGGGACCCTATGGCAAGCGTTGTGGCTGTGAGGTCTAGGAAGATCCAGCCCAATCCTGCAATTTGAAGATCTCTGTCAATGTTGTACCCAAGTTAGTTGCAGATTATTAGATCTAAAAACTTTTCTTGGATTTGGAGACAAAAAAAAGAGAAGAGGAGAAATGATCTAAAAGCTTTTCTTGGATTTGGAGACAAAAAAGAGAAGAGGAGAAATAACGTGAGTTTGAGGAGTGTGAGATTGGTGATGTGGATTAATGACATGGATAATCAAATTTTTATTTATTATTTTTATTTAAAAACGAATTAAAAATTATTAATTAAAAAAACTAATGAAGGGTGTTAATTGTAATTACACAAATGCTCAAAACATATGAGTAATTTTTAGAAAATGTATGATATTCTAGTAATATTCGAACTTTTGGTTAACATCTGAGTAAATATTTCTAAATAATACGACCATAAAAAGGTTTAATCTTTATAAAACTAAATGTATATTATTTTTTATCGAAATAACTATATTTCTTATTGAACCAAATAATTACGGTTTCTAAACCAGATTTAACCACAAGTTTGCGTTTACTATTCCGTAACTAAAATAAACCGCATTCGAAACCTATAACCCGACAAAATTAATCGACGCTGCTTTGAGTTTATGATACATAAAAATTAAAGAAAAAAATTACCAAGTCTCGGGTTTTATAATACAAAAATACAAGATTTGATGTTTTTCAAATAATTTGTTTGCTTCAACTTTTATGGTTTTAACCTATCAAATGGTTTTTTTTTCCTTGATATAGTAACCAATCAAATATTACCAATCACATTATGATATCTCTTATTTACTTCGTAACTACTAAAAACTCTCTAACCGCACTACATAAAACTTGATCACATTGTTGTTGATCCAAATGCTTTAAAAGTCAAAACAGGTTTATCGTTTTTTATAGCCGACCTTTTGATATTAATAATTATAACATAACCCAATAATCATTTTACTTTGTGCGTTGATTTTAATATAATTTGACATCCTTACTTCATTTTGACGATGTTAGTTGAAATCTAGTCATTTGACAATACAAATCACTTTGAAAAATACTTTCAATAAGAAAAAGGCTAGTAACTTCTAGCATACGCATAAAGACTAAAGTTTGAGAATCATATAAAACATATTTAGCTTCGACTTTCCTTTAAACATATTTTTATTGAATGAATTGAACGTTTCATGATCCATCCATTTGTCCATCACTAACACAAACCAAATACTGTAATGTTTTGCAAAATGATAAAACAATCAACTCAATTTTTAAATGTGGTCGAATGTCTTAAATTGTTTTTTTTTTTTTTTTTTCTGATAAAGTTTTCTCAACTCGTCCACTATTCTCGTTAAGGGGCCGATTCTGTGAGAAACAAATTTTTCATTCGGCCCAAAGAGGATGATAGGCTACTTTATAAACTTACAAATAAATCAATGTTGCATATAGCATAAGATTGGATCTTGAGCTGAAACATCCAAATTGAAAAATCTTTCCTATGACCACAACAATCCTTCTGCAAATAGAGCTTAAGGATCTTTTTCTCTCTCAGATCATTCCAATGAACATAAGAACATACCACCAACCTTTTGGTTAATCAAGCTTCTTATAATCATATCCATTGAGGTTGAAGTTGAACCATTTTCTTTTGGTTCTGTTTTTACTCTTTGGTCCCGCACTATCCACATCACCTTTTGATCCCTCTCCATGAGCTTTGCTACTACTTCCATTTCTCAAATTGCTGCCGCTTTGTGACTTCACGACAGAGAAGGTCGAATGGATTGAATTCTTTTGCTTTAGTAGTTCATCCACCTGCACCATCATCCATAAAACACAAGATTGAACACTTTTAATCATGGCAGAAAATGCAATAAAGAACAAACTGTTATAGAAAAAAGATATGAGATTCATCAACGTACAAGGCTTATGGTCTAGATCCTAACACAAGGCCTCCTGTCATCTAAACATGGAATTCACAAAATTCAAACAGAAACTGCCAATATAGAAAACCAGCAACCCTAAGCTTAGAAATAAACAAAAAACAAAATTTGAAGCTTACTTGAGAGATAAGTTTCTGTAAGCGGAGTTGATTTCCTGATCGTTTGCGTCCTTTAATACAGAAAGCTCCTCGTACGGTCCCATCGAATCGCCCGAGCAGACGAACCATCCACCTTTTTCGCATTCAGCGTCTCACTTTTCTTCTCTTTACAAGGAAAACTCAAACCTAGGACTATAATAGGACAATATATTCAACCGAGAGTCAACTACCTGAACCGAATGCTACCCAAACTGGAACCAAAGGCCAGGGCTAATATTGAATAGAATGAAGACGAAATTTCCGCTACGTATGACACTATTTTATTTTTGTATTTTAACTTTTAAATGGTTGATTTCAACTTTTATTATCCAAATCTCTCGTAAACCAAAAGATCTCAAAATTTATTTCATGAAAACAAATTTTGTAACATCAAATTAAATAAATTATACTACTAGCTATTGATTTAAGGTTTAAGCTGGAGAAACTGTGAAATAAATTACATCTGGATTGAAGCAAGTCTGGCATTATCATTTTGAATCTGAATATATAATCAATCCACCATCACAATGACAATTCTGTTTAATATAAAGATAACAAACAATGAATCAATGAAGCATAAGCATACATATCAAAACACTCCTATCAATACAAATCCTTTCACTCATTAAAGAGCTTTTGCATCTCTCTCAGACCATTCCCATGATTATATATGCCTACATAGAGCACCCTAGTGTGACGAACAGTCACCTGAGTCACTTCCGTCTAACGAATGAACAAAATACCAATGACCCACAACAAATCTGCCTTCTGGTCAACCAAGCATCTTATCAGATCCTTTTAGGTTCAAGTTGAACCATTTCCTCTTGGATTTGTCTCTGCTCTCTGTTCCGCCTTCTTCTCCCGCACTATCCCCATCACCTTTTGATTCCTCTCCCTGAGCTTTGCTGCTACTTCCATTGCTCAAGTTTTTGCTGCTTGGTGTCTTCACGACAGAGAAGGTCGAATGGATTGTATCCCGTTGCTTTAGCAGTTCATCCACCTTCACCACAAACCAAACACTTTTAGAATGATAAACAAGTATGTCAGAAAATATCTGCTAGGGCTCCTCTGGGTCCATGTGCACAACGTTGACAAAAACAACATCTCCTTTCAGAAACACTGAGTGCTAATCAAAGTATAAAATACGGTAAGGACTAAATTGTCATATAGAGAAAAGAGCTTCATCAAACGTACAGTTTGCTTCTCCTGCGTGTATCTGTTGGTGACTTCTTGAAACCGCGCCAAAGCCTTGCAAAAGAATATAGGAAGTCATCAGATTACATGTCTCCCTGAAATACTGACTGAGCTCTCAAATAGTAGAAAATTACTTTTCGGTACTCTGTTTCAAACTGCCGCAACTCGTTTCTCTTTCTTAAGATTTGAGCTTCAATCTCCTTCAACTTCTCAGTTGTATCCTCATAGGTCTTGGCACAGAGTGCCTCAATCGTGTAGGATGCAGTCTTAAAGAAGTTATCACCTGAAAAGCAACTAGGGACCAGTTAAACTACAGTCTCAAAAATGCTCCAACTATCGTAAATAAAGTAATAACTCATACCGTAAACTGCAAATATATGCGTGCCAGCTTTCAGTTCTGATACCTCACAAGGTTGAAGACCTTCCAATCGCTTGAAGAAAGCAGATTCAGGGTCCTTGGCTGCAGCCAACTGCACAATAACCGCAATGTCGATTGCTTTAATGCCTCTGCATATTCTAAATGTCAGCTAATTATGAGAGGAAAAGAGCTCAGAACTTGCATACCGCATTGACAGTCGAATCCATTCTATACACTTGAAAATGTAAGAAATACATGCCAGCTGATGTCACCTTGCCTGTTTTCTCACTCTCTTCCTGAAATAACAAATAGAAGCTTAATGCTGTCATGGAATCACCATGAGAACAATGGAAAAACTTTTTGAAGAACTAGCGAAAAGTTTTTCTGTCAGAAGACAGTACAGTAATGATGTAAAACTAAGACCAATATTCTTTTAATACAAAGAGAAATGATTATACCTGTAAGGCCAATCCATAGCCGCCACTTGAATCTTGCTCAAAATAAAGTAACTGCAGATGGACAAATTTAGAAGTTAATTAGGTGAAACAACTCACAAGTTAGTCGCAAAAGACAAGGAGCATGCATTGAATATACCGAACATTATCAGGAAGGTCAGTAATGGCATTCCGAGCATACCTTAAATTTACTTTGTGCTGTTGAAGTAACTCTAACAACGACCCCTGATTCAGCTTGTTGTTCACTTATCGTAACTCCAAAAAAATGAGCGCATTGCTTCTCAACCTGATATGAGAAATTAGATAACTTCAATTAGATATACATAACAAAATAAGGTAAGAAGATAGTTTTGTAATCTGAGTTCACACCTTCCCACTAACTGATGTTCCAATAGGAAGGGGCCTAACTGTAACAGTTCCATTCATAGCCTCTTCAAGAACATTGGCAGACACAGTAGTCTTGATAGGCACACCTAGTTTGCTGAAAATTGACATAATAAAAGGTTAATAAAAGAGGATTTGAAACAAATTGCTTTCTTAAGAGCACCAGAGAAAATAAAGGTAACTAACTGCACCTGAATAATGCTGCAAACATAGTATTTACGGTTCCGAGGTTTGACAAGTCAATTTCCATGTCCATTCCATCCGCATCGAGTGCCTAATATCATGAAACAAATCTTATTCAAGCTGTAGCTGATAATGGAACAGACATACTTATTTGAGGTAACATTAGGAGTGAAAAAACTCTATTCCTATTGACCACTTACGAAGACCGACAAGATCGAAAATTCTCTTCCTATTAATTCTACGAAAATCGACAAGAAACAAGTATTAATCACCTCAAATCCTGCATTGTCATAGTGCCTTCTCTTTTCAGGGTCAGACAAAATGCTATAGGAAAATGCAACTTCCTTGAAAAGCTCAGAAGCATCGGGATTGTTCGCATTCTTATCCGGATGATACCTAACAACAATTGTATTGGATCCAATAATGTAAAGGCATTAGGATACAATAGATATACACAGAAGGATCTTAAACAAAGTCAAAAGCATGACATAGAAGATTCTTCACATATCAATGGAATTCATAGACACAGTATACAATTCAAATAGGACCAATTCCAGAAACCCTAAGAAATTAGGCTTACTTGAGAGCTAATTTTCTGTAAGCGGATTTGATTTCTTGATCATTAGCGTCCTTTGATACACAAAGAACCTCGTACGGATCCCGTCGATTCGCCGGAGCCGACGAACCTTCTATCTTTTTCGCGCTCATCTTCGCTCCTCCGACGAATTTGAATAAAAAATATCTCAAATTCGAAGGGAATTTGCAGATCCAAACAGCGGCGGACCTAGAACAATCGCGATTTCAGGTATCTTCAATCGAGGAATTTAAGGAATTTTTAAACCTCGTAAACAAACGATGAGCAAAAGAGAACCAGAAACGAGGATCTAAAAAGCTCACCAAATAAGAAGAGATTGGGGAAGAAGAAGAAGATGGAGGAAAGATATCGAAACAAAGGGTTTCCAAGTTACAAGTCCAAAAATAATAAAAAGGTATTAAAATCTGTTTTATTTATTTATTCGTATGATATGACGTAATAACTCTCGTTGATTTTTCATTTTTTCCCCCTAATTTTCCAACATCTGATATGTGATATGACCTGAAAAAATAACTGAAATTTATTTGGCCAAAAAAAACGAAATGTCTAATTTTACATTTTTTATTTACTGATTTTTTTCCAATGGGCATTACGTAGTTTTTATAATAAGAGTGATTACATTATTTTAATATTATAAATATATAAATTTAGATCATTCAAAAAATAAAAATGGTATAATTTAACTTAAATGTGTAACAATTTAGCATAATGGAATATAATCAAATATGTAATGTAATTGGAAAAAATATCAACAACTTTATACATGGTAAAAGTAAAGAAAATTTTGCAAGGATTTAGTATTTTTATATCTTTATACGAAAATTGTTCAAGCATCATTTAAGTGAGAGAGATGACTAGAAACGTTATAGCCATTTTTTGAGGAAAAGTTTCAGAGAAAATAACATGAAAGAAAATCTATTGCATGAACATGTATAGAAGGAAGAATAAAACGTGTGGACACAACTCGGTCATACATTGCAAATTGCTTTCCATCGCAAAATACTGATTAGAGGTGACAAAAAAATCCGAACCAAAATTTGTTATAACCTTAACAGTATATAAATTTTTATACCAATTTATCCAAATCGAACCTGAATTTTTTACAACCGAACCAACTTATCTGAATAAACTGCAATTCATCAAAATATGATATTTTTACCATCCATATATAAAAATACATTTAAATATACTAAAATGTATAGTATGAAATAGAATAATTATTTATTTATTTTATTATAACTTTGATCTAAAATCAAACTAAATTCGAACTAAACCCGAATTTGGACTAAACCTAACTGAACAAAAATAAAATTTGGTTCTATTTGATACCTATTTTTAAAATCCAAAATTTTTGAATTCTAAAAAACCGGAACCAAACTAAACCTAAATACTGAATGACATACCTAATTATGATGGTCAATTATTTTCCTCGTAATATCATAATGACAAGTTTATCTATGGACTATTTGACTTTGAATAAAATTGAATCGGTATTTTGGAAATATGATAAAATATTTGACTATAGTTTTGAAAGTTAATTAATCTGCCTTATTTTCTTTATATCTCAAACTATATAAGAATCGGGAGAAACTCAGAGTGTTTTTCAACGAAGCCGTTGATAAAGAGGTTTCTTAGGTTTTTGAAGGCGAGGGTGTCAAATAAATATGTGATCCCTCGCATTCGAAAACTAAAAAATTCTCTCTTTGACATGTTCGTGCTCCTCTAAGCCGAAGAGAACACAAACTCTAATTTTTTTTTCCTAAATCGATTTTAAGATAATTATTTTCATCATGATAAGCTTCTTCTTTTGATAGTATCGTATTACTAATATTGTCTGACCACAAGCTGCTTAACAAAATTTTCAATAAGATTGTAATCTCTTTAAAGTTTAAACTCAAGACGCACATGCGAGTATTATGTCCAACAAAATTTAAGGATGGAGACAACTACATCTAGAATTTTCATAAGGTTTGATTTCTCATTTTGTTAGAAAAGAATATCCTACATTTTTAAAAAATATATTCTACGTTAAAAACGTTGATTTATAATTTTACCTTGTTTGCATAGTCTAGGAAATACAGATGTGAGGCACTACACTAAATGGTATTTTTTGTAAGCAGCTCCCATAAGTCTAAAGCAAAGCTGTAGACGTCAGCCTTGTGATCACATTGCTTTTTTCTTATTATGAGCGGCACACGGCTTTATATTTGTGCATACAAAATATAAAATCTTCTACGCAAAAGATATCAAATTGAAGATTGCATGTTTTGTATCCATAGGTATGCAGTCGTGAGTAGCTAAAAATTGGGAAGAAAAGAATATATGCATCATAATCACAAGGTTGAGGTTTACAGTTTCGCTTTAGTTTTCTAGATGTTGCTTACTAATTAAATATCATTTAGTGAGGTGCCTCACATATCCTTATTTTGTAAACCATGTAAAGTCACAAATCTAACAATTTTAATTTAAAATGAAAAAAGATTTTAAAATGTTGGATTTTTTTGGGTAATATTAGAAACTAACCATAGAATAGAAAAACAAATTAAGAGAATAGTCTTGTGTCAGAAAACATAGGTAAATAGTCTTTTGTGGAGTAGGATAAATACTAAAATATCCTTATGTTTTCTTGTTTTTACAATAACGCCGGTGACAGTAGTTACAAAGTTTTTAATAAATGTGCACAACTCTTGTTGAACAAATCATGTGTTCTCTGAAATAACACGATATATTTATAAAAACATATCATTCTCTTAAATAACACGAAGTATTAACAAACATATATAATTGTTAAAAAATTTCATGGGTTTTTATTGGATAGCGTGACAAATATTTATATATCAATGGTAATAGCATGTTTTGTCCTTAAAATACATGTATTTTAAAAATTAGACATGTGTTTTAAAATCAGATCTAATCTCTTATCACACCGGGGAGTGGTGGAGAAATCCGGCGAAAAAGGAAAACAGAGAATGACCAAGTGAGATGAGAGGGAGATTTCTAAGAAAAAAGAAAGAGAGAATACGTAGCGAAGAAATATGACAATAGGAAGATATGGGTAAAGAAAAAGAGATCTCGTAGTGAACGAGATTCGATGAGACAAAGAGAGAATGGAGAAAAAAAAAGATTCCACGGTGAATCTGGTGAAAGTTTTTAATAATCGTGCACAACTCTTGTTGAACAAATCATGTGTTTCTCTGAAATAACACGATATATTTACAAAAAACATATCATTTTCTTAAATAACACGAAGTATTAACAAACATATATAATTGTTACAAAATTTCATGGGTTTTTATTGGATAACGTGACAAATAATTATATATCAGTGGTAATAGCATGTTTTGTTCTTAAAATTCATTTATTTTCAAAATTAGATATGTGTTTTAAAATCAGATCTAATCTCTTATCACACTAGGGAGTGGTGGAGAAATCCGGCGATAATGGAAAACAGAGAACGACCAAGGGAGATGAGAGGGAGAAAATTCTAGAAAAAAAAAAAGAACATGTGCTGAAGAAATCTGACAATATGGGTAAAGAAAAAAGAGATCTGGTAGTGAAGAGATTCGATGAGAAGTAGAGAGAATGAGAAAAAAGAATAGATTTCATAGCTGGTGATGAGTTCTAGAAAAAAAAAAAAAAAAAGAAATTCAATGAGAGAAAGAGAGCTTCATGGTTAAATGTCTTAGGGGGAAGGAGAAAGAAACAAGAGAAAGACAAAAAAAAAAAAAATGATAATATAGACCAAAAGTTGCCAAAAATTCTATAACAAATAAGTACTATTTGGTCAAAAGTTAATTTGTTAATTCTTTTTAAATAAAAAGTTATTTTGTATATATTCTCGATTTTCTTGAATACTTGGGATGAAGTTGTCTCCATCTTAAAAACTTGCTGGTCAAAATACTATAATGCGTGTATTGAGTTTAAAGATATTATTGTCTTAATGAGAAACTTGCTAAGCATACGGGGAAGCTTATCAAAATGAAAATAATTGTTTCAAAATAAAATGATAAAAAATTTCCAAACACGGAATTTCTTTCTTTATAAATTCTTTTCTTTTCACTACTGCAAATATAACAAACTTCAAAATGTGAATATTTAAATCGAAGTAAAACCAAATTAGCTAATATTACTGAATCATAGTTGCCAACAAAAAAAAACACACACACACATAAAAGTTGTTGATGTTGTCCATCATTTTAATTTGTCTTAACCGATCACGTCCATGTCCATGAACTTATTTCCTTATCATATTTGTTTTTTTTTTTCCTAAAAAATAAATTATCACCACTTATATATAAATAAAAACACGTTGATAAATATTGGTTCCATCACTCCCTACCAAAAACAAATTTTGGTTCCATCACTAACACATTATATTCACTACTATTAGACATTAATTATAGTTTTCATTTGCTAATTATAATTAGCAGAAATTCTCCATATATTTTGACTGGATTATCATATATACAGATTAGTCGTTTAGATACTCCATATATACAACTAAATATAAAAGCATATGAATTTTTTTTTAAATAACTATTTTAATTTATTATGTTACATATCCAAGAAAAATTGCACACCTATAACAAAAAAAAATGATGAAGAGAGAGAGTGATTAGAAATACATGACGGTAGATGCTAACCGGAGTAATTTATCCAAAGCAGTCGACGAAAACTTGCGAGCGAAAAGAAAGCAAAGTCTCATCTTATTTTCTCCATTTTTCTCGCAATCACCAACACTCTTCATCCTTAGCCACTTCAAGAACTCCACATTAATCTCCCACTCACCAAACAATCTCGGGTGAGCCCTACGCTGGCTCCAGTCAGTCCAAGTAAGCGTCATGTTGGCGTTACGCGACCCGAGCCTCGGCCTCATGTTGAATAACGTCGGGATATAGTGCTCGTCGGGGCAGCGAGAGTAAGCTTTGAAGATTGGCCAGTAGAACGTATCAGAGACGACCTCTAGGGCCATGGCTCGGTCTAGCTCGAACCACTGAGAGCCTTTGCGCCAGTGATGCATGTGGATGTGAGGATACATGCGGCGGTCGTAGCGGACGCGACCAATGGGGAGGTCGTAGGAGTCGACGTGGCTTTGAGTGGAGTCGATGAGGAAAGAGTAAATTGTGGTGAAGTTGAAGAGAGGGATGCATGATTCGGAGAGAAGAATGAAACGTTCGTTGTTGATGTCTAATAAAGCGTTTGCTAGTAACCTTCGTTCTGCCTCTACCATGTTTGCGTTTCCCCAATCCACTCTCTGCATGCGTTTATTATTAATGACGTTGGATTGATTTTTAAGTTTTAAAGTGTAATAATATAACTTTTCTTTTTTAATATAACTTGTCTTATATTTTTAATTATGTAGTTTATTACAAACCATTTAACGGTCCACTTCGGTCCGTTATATATAGACATATTACTTATTATATATCTATAAGCTTTATTTATCAAATTAATTCTAAACCTTTTAAATTTTTATCAAAAATAAATTTCTTAATAATTTGGGAAGCTGACCTTGCTTGGAATACGGCGGCCATAAAACACAGAGCCTTGGGGCATGAACTCGTCGTAAGACGAATTGGTGTGAACGTAGATAGTGAAAAGACCTTCATGCCCACGAAAGAACCTTTCCCATAGAGGAGCCAAAGGTAAAGGTCCCCAAGTCAAGAACATGAAAGCAACCTTTGGGATTCTAGGATAAGGGTAACCCCTGATCTTAGGATCCATTGAAGCTCTCCACAGAAGCTCATTGTCTTCCATATCGTGCATGATGTTCTTCGGTGGCTTCAGAAACATTTCGAGCCCATTTTCCTGACATGAAGGAGAAGGAAGAGGAGGAGGAGAGGTTACAAAGAAGAATTGAGAGACACTTTGGACGGTTAGCGAAGAAGGCGAAGATAATGCTTGTAGAGAGATATAAACAATGATTCCAACTATCGCGGCGATCCAGAGGATGGGGAAATACAAAAGGAGATTGTGGAAATGGTGGAGTAGTTTCTTGATAAGCTCTATCGCTAGAGATGATTGTGAGTTTTGGTCCTTTTGGGTCGGCATTTCCAACTACCGGTACATGTGTAGGAGAATTCTTGTTTTCAATGTTTTAAGGGTTAAAAGAAGATATATGGATCTTACTTCCTAGTTGGAATGAGGTGAAAAAGTGGAGAAGAGCAAGTAAAATTGGAGATCTTGTGGCGTGAATGATGAAGTCGTAAATAAAAAATACACACGCAATGGAGTATAACATTTTGAGACAGTTTTTTTTAATGATCCAAGCAAATTCAATTGGTTTTACGTAGCATCTTATTACTACTCTTTCACTAGCATTAATTCTTTAAACTAAAATCACAAATTTTCTTACATCAATATTAATTTTTTTACAAAAATTGACGGGAGTAGACTAACCAATCTTTGTCTTTGAATGAAATATTTTATGTATTTCCATGCAATATTTATTTTCTTAAGTTTGTTTTCCCAAAACCATATCTCCTTGTTATAAATGGATATTAATACTGATGGTGGTTTAAATATTTTACTTGTAGTTTCGGAAGTTTAAGTTTCTTGCTTTTACGTATACCTAATGTATATGGTTTATTTTCTTTCTTTTTTGCCCATAAGTTTATTGCATATCTTGTCAATAATATACATTGTTTTCTGGTAATCGTTCACCATATATACATTCTTGAAACGTTCACGTTTACATTGCTTAACGCTTGCAACAATTTCATTGTATAAAATATATATATAAGATCGTAATGAAAACGATATGAAGCTTATATTAGAATGTCCTACATTGCTTGGGATTAAGATCTTTGGGTAGTATATAAAGGATGTGGCAATCCTTAACTCTTGAGCTAGCTTTTGGGTTAAGTTAGGCCACATTCCTAATATGGTATCAGAGCCCAAGGTTCGCCCAACAAGCAAATTTCCACACAAATGGTTTCCCACCTATGTGGCCCATATAAGTGGCATGTCTTGTTGTATTTCCGAGATGTTGGGCTTGGGCTGTTTCCCGTTGGACCGTTTCCCACCCACATCTCGAGGAGGCCTATTAGAATGTCCTACATTGCTTGGGATTAAGATCTTTGGGTAGTATATAAAGGATGTGGCAATCCTTAACTCTTGAGCTAGCTTTTGGGTTAAGTTAGGCCACATTCCTAATAGCTTATAGCACTAGAAGTTAAACCTAATTTGGATTTTTCGTAACTATTGTCTATTGGAGTGAGTTTATTTACCAGAATGAAAATGATGCGGCCGTAAAAGCAGGATCGTGTAGATTGCTATTAAAAAGCACTAAAATTCAATGTTTATAGAACAAAGATGTGAATTTCATTTACCTGACGTTTATAGTATGCAATTTATAGACATGATACCAACTCTTATAGAGAACCAACCACCACTTAGACAATAAAATCAAGAAATAAAATGGAGAAACAATTACATAAGTGGGCACCACAATACCCAATATAACGAAGTCGTAATCAAGATACACAAATGAAAAATTTTCCGGCAATCTGATTTTGCTAGGATATATGTTGGTTTGTTGAAAGGTCGATGAATCCATTAGATTTTGAACTACTCAATCTTGTCTTGTGTAACAACTGAGTGATTTTTAACTAACCCAATTAATTTGCCAGCAGTTTTAGAAAATCTTAGAAAACGTAATAAAAAGGAAACGAATACTTTTTGAGGCGAATACCATTTTTCTAAAATTTACTTTCTATTAATCTTGTGATTAATTAATAAATTACAAACCCACTGTATGTTTTAAAACCTGATAAGAAAAACAAATATACAAAAATATCATAAATCTAGTACATATTAGAGCTTCCAAGCTCACTATATGAAAAGAGATCCTTAATAGTAAATTTTAAATCATCTTGTAATAACACCAACATATATCTTGTTCATTCGGATATTTAGTCTCTTACATGTTTTCTCTCAAAACAAAATACTCTTTTGTGTGTGTTTTTTCTTTTTCAAATGAAAGTAACAAACACTATTTGCTTAAAGCTTTTGTTAGAAAATTAATCTCATGTATCTCAGATATAGGATTTTTTTCATGGTTTATATTTTAATTCTTAAAAAACTGTAGATCCATGGACAGAGCCGGCTCAAGTTTTTGAAGACCACAAGCAAATGAAAAAAATGGGTTGTTTTACATATTTAAAAATATATATATATCTAACTAAGACCAAAAATTATATATATTATTAAAGACCACAAGCAAATGCTTCATGGACTTGTGCCATGGGTCGGTTCTGTCCATGGATGCCAAAAAAATGATCCATGTTACTATGTGAGTGAAAATGATTTAGCCTATGTAATTAAATGGAAATGTTTATTATGTATTTCTAATTAAGAAAAAGATTTATGAGGGACTGTTTTATCAGGCCGTTCATACAAAATCATTATACTATTTAAACATTAACTATATACATACACAAAATGCATAATTTATAAATGATAAATTATAATTTATTTCTACTTTAAGGTTTTTGCACACGGATTAAAAAATCACAACAATCTCATTTAATTTACCTCTTTTACATAAAAACATCATTAACTACAACTAATTCAACAAATAAGAAAACATGTAATAAAATATAATTGGTCAAAAATTATTAAACAAAATTTATTTTTTGTATAGAAAATTAAAAACAACATTTATTTTGCAACAAAAAAAAAATTGGTTAAACTACAAATAAATCGAAATAGAGGGAGTACGAAACTAATTTGAAGTCAACCTTGTGAATTCTAAACTGAAAGAAAATACTTGTTGCACAATGAAATTGATCGGTCAAATTTACGTGTAAAGTTGGTTGCACATTGTTGAAAGCTGTAGAGTGAAGAGACAATAATTGTGCAACAAGTGGCATTAACCCCGGGAATGTCATGACGTATTGCTGGAAAAATGCATTGCATATTGGATATAGAGTCAATTGAGAACCGTCTTGTTAGACGAAGACTAGTGATGGCTAAAACGAGTAATGATGGCTGAGTTAAAACCAACAAAATATATGTGATCATGCTCACTTGGGTTCATATACGAGAATAGGTTTTTTCCATAACGAACTATTTCATTTTATTTTTTACCGCACCTACTTAATTTTTTAGACTATTTCATGCGAGCGATATATGAAGATTTCAATAGCATGCAATGGATATTTTCATGATTAATTATAATAACAACAGTTTTTACATAAATATTGATTATAATTCTTTTTGACAAAAAATAGAGTTGTCCTTGTCCCATTGCGAATTTAAGATGAAACAAACGGTTGTGAATAATGAGGAAGTTACTATTGACAAGATCTAGTTTCACATTTATAACAGCTCATACATTGTTCTAAATGTAAGATGTACCGTTTTAATACGTCGAGTGGTGAAAATATATAAACATAGATTACATATATATTATCATAGCTAACAAAACGATCCACAAGGTCAAAGTAAGCTAATTACTATGAATTTTTCTTAACTTTTTAAAATTTTATTGTTATTCCGAGTACTTTACAACATTAATTAAGTATGAGCTAGTGGCATTTCCTGCAATTGATATAAAGAAGAATTATAAGAACTTATAAAGTTATAAGGTTTTCACAAACATAATCAAATGCTATTTATATATAGTTCTTATAATAATAATAAATGAAAATGTATGGTTACAAATGATAACACACAATTACTTCAAATTTGAAAAATGTTGAAACGCGTTGCTTACTAAATAAAAAGAAAAAAAACGTCAACTTATTTATGTTTATCTTTAAAATGTCCAGCGTTATTTCCCTAAACTTATTAGCACTTGCGGATTAGCATTTATTTTCGTTGAATATTTTAAGAAAAAACTTCACGCAACATATTGACGTTTTCCCTATCCTTTGGTTTTGTTAAATACATATTTAATGATTTTGATTTTATTTTTCATTTCAAGAAAAGCCACATGATAAGTTTATGTTTAAATGTTACTTTAATTTTTATTTTATTTTATAATGGTAAATTTATGTCCTTTTAATATTTTATGTTCAAAAGTTTTTAAGATATACTGTATTAGCTAATTCTATAAATTTCAGTTATTCCACTAATTAACCAATTTTGTAATTCAAGAGAAATCACCAACAATTATGCATGAAAAGCTGCCAAATTCAATTTTCTATTTGCATCTTATATAAAGTTCTTTCTTTTTTTCGACTGTTACAATTTGCATCTTATATAAAGTTCTTTCTTTTTTTCGACGACAAGAAAATTCCACGGTTTCAACCCCAAAAATTTACATTTTGACCCTAAAGAAAAGAAAACTCAAAAAAAAAATATACAAATTACGAAATTTTCTCCACTTGTAAAAGCGGTATCGTATCTCTTGCCCTTAAAGCAAAGAACTTGTCCCTCCTTCTCCATTCACTCCTCTTTTGGAACATCACAAGCACACAACAAAGCTTCTTTTGGAACTCCTCTTGATCCTCTCTGTCTCTGTCTCAATGAAGAACCAAAAGGATCAAAACTCATCATCATTGTCTTCTTCATCACCATCTCTAACAACAAAGCTTCTAAATGCTCAATACCATCATTTCCTCAATCTCCTTTCGTATTCCCTTATCCTCTGTTGCGGCATAATCATCGGTATCCTTCTCCATTCCTCTCTACAAGAATTCTCTTCCACTTCTTCACTAAGCATCCAACGCATCTCTCAGCTCTTCCTCGTCACCTCTCTTCCTCCTCCTCCTCCTCCTCCTTCTCCTCCTTCTGAGCTAGAGCTTGATGGGCTCGAACGCTTTATCAAGCCACCAGAGAAGCTTATGCACGACATGGAAGACGAAGAGCTTCTATGGAGAGCTTCTATGGCACCTAAGATCAAGAATTACCCTTTTCCTCGAACACCAAAGGTTGCTTTCATGTTCATGACAAAGGGTCATTTACCTCTAGCTCGTCTATGGGAGAGATTCTTTCGAGGGCATGAAGATCTTTTTACTATCTACGTTCACTCATATCCTTCTTATAACCAGTCCGATCCCGAAGATTCCGTCTTCCATGGCCGCCACATTCCAAGCAAGGTCAGCTTCCTACAAACTCCAATATTTGTTTTTCCTTTATGATTTTTCATTTTTTTTTGTGAAATTACGTTGGGAAAAAATGGTATAATATTTATAATGTTGTGACTTTTAGTAGTCTTAAAAAATGTCAAAATTTCAAGTTGGCCACCATTTGTCCAAACATATAACAAAATAATGCATATATAAATCAAAACTATAAATTAAAGGTATGCCAAAAGCTTATACTACATTTTTCAAATTTTCGAAAACTGTGTGCTCTTGTTGTAAACATGCTCTGACTATGATTGAGTAATTATCGAACAAAAATCTCATACTAAAAAGAATAAAATTCATAAGGAATTGTGAAGAGAATGTAGATTATCTTGCACATTACGGTTTGCTTTTGGTTAAATAAATTATTATACCTTTAATCAAGCAATTGTTTGTGGTCCGTCGGTGCCAGTGCTATCAAATAATATAATACAGTAAATTGCATGGTTTCGTTTTTTTTTTTTAATATAAAGTATTGCATGGTCTTTTCATTAGTTAAAACATATCGGCTATGACTGGTAAATGTTAGAAGAAAAAGGAAGAAAAAAATCAGAAGAAAACAGAAGAAAATAAAAATCTTAATAAGGAAGTTTCTACGAAAGGTGTGGTTAACAATTTGGAATAATATAAAGCATTCAAATACCCAAAAACTCGGGTCAAAGAAGAATAGTAACGGATCGAGTCGGCAATTCCGGTTATTATGTCATGTCCATCGCTATCTTTCTTTTGTAGTCAAAGTTTGTTAGATTTCTTAATATAAAGCATGGCGTCATCAAACTACTTTTCACTTTTATGAAAATCATTTGCAACGTGGGACGTTATGTTTTTGGTTTTTTTAACATTTATTTTGCTTAAAAACATATTGTAAAGGTTTTATATAATGACAATCTATTAATATAATTTTCAATGCGGGTTTCTAAATTCTTTATTTTTCCTTTATTGATAATGCAGAGAGTGGATTGGGGATATGTGAATATGGTGGAAGCAGAACAAAGATTACTAGCAAATGCTTTATTAGACATATCAAACGAACGATTTGTACTTCTCTCCGAATCATGCATCCCTCTATTCAACTTCACCACTGTTTACTCTTACCTCATTAACTCAACTCAAACTCACGTTGAGTCCTATGACCAACTTGGTGGCGTTGGACGTGGCCGATATAGCCCTCTAATGCAGCCACATGTCCAGCTACACCACTGGCGCAAAGGCTCCCAGTGGTTCGAGATGGACCGTGCCATGGCTCTTGAGATCATCTCTGATAGAATCTATTGGCCTCTCTTTTATAGTTACTGCCACCATGGTTGCTACGCGGACGAGCACTACATTCCTACACTACTCAACATCAAATCAAGCCTGAACCGTCGCAACTCGAACCGGACTCTCACGTGGGTCGACTGGTCGAAAGGTGGCCCGCACCCGAACCGGTTTATTAGACACGAGGTGACTGCAGAGTTCATGGAGAATCTGAGGAGTGGTGGTGAGTGTCTCTACAATGGAGAAGAGACGAATACTTGTTATTTATTTGCTCGTAAGTTCTTGCCTACTGCTCTCGACCGGTTGCTCAGGCTTTCACGTACTGTTTTATATTTCTGATTATTATTTTTCTTCTTTCATTTTTTTTTTTTTTTTTTCAATTTCACCGTAATATTGTATAATATTATTGATTATTCGTATATGAGGAGTATTATATTTTGGGTGATTCATCTACACATTGCATTTAACTTTTTCTCTTTTTAATTCCGTAATATCAGCCGACGAAACAAGCTTCAACGACTACATATGTTAGATATTTTATGTTTATTTAGTTGACTATCGTGTAACTCTACCACTATGTATACTATATAGAAGACGAAAATGTTACATACTATGCGATAACATGCGCACATGCTTGCCACATAACTCTATAAAGTCATTTCTATCGTCGGAGAAATTATAATAATGGACCGGACTTTAAGGCATCTCTAGTGGGCGTTCCTCTCATTTAGGCCCCGACTTTCTAGAGTAAGCACATCCTTAGTTAATACTCCCTCCGTTTCGTTTTAGTTGTCGTTTAAGGTTTTCGCACACAAATTAAGAAAATCATTAAATTTTTTGTTTTACCCTTTATTAATATATTTTATAATTTTTTCATTTGTCAAAACATTAAAACATTAATGACAAAACATGAATTTTCACCAAACATTTGTATTGAAAACCTAAAACGACAACTATTATGAAACAAAATTTTAATCCTAAAACGACAACTAAACTAAAACGGAGGGAGTAGTTAATACCTAGACTAGGTGATGATATATTATATAATGGGTGTAAATATATAGTAGTTAAAATATTCAAAGGTTGTAATAAAAATCAAATCCCAAATATATGGCATTTCAATAGTTTTACTATTTTTTTTAACTTTTTTATCAATCACTCATTAACCAAAAAAATGATTCCATAACTGGTAGTCCAACTTGGAAGAAGATAGTTTACAAATGAAATTTTAAAAAATAACAATGTAGAAGAGAAAAAGAGTTTTATTATTCTTAAACTCGAAAATACAATTTAATTTGAGCGTTAGGAAATTTTTGTAAGACATCACACCGGTGTTCTAAATAAACGATCTAATGTTGTTAGGTTAATTTACCACCAAACAAACAATCCTCAGCGATCGCAAGAAAAAACTAGAGTATAAATACCTATAATTGTGTTAATATTAAATTAAAAAGCAAAACCCTGTGTTGAATACACAAAAATAGAACTACATAAAATATTATTTTGGGGTCTAATTTTACGATACGTTTTTTGCTATTGGGTAGTCCCTCCAGGTAAAAATAGAGATGGAAATTTTGTTTACCCCTAATCCAAAACACTCGAGACTCACATAATCCTCGTATTACAAACTATAAAGAAACAAAGAAAAAACAAAGCCTACGACACTAGAAGTGTTATGATTTCAGAAGAATGACAAAAGTCAAGATTCCAAGCACGTGATTTACATTTTTTAAGAAAACGAATCGTACTACTGACTCGTAGTTCCACCGCAAGTGTCCTCGGACAAGCACGGCGAGTCCACCGCAGAATTGATCCCATCATTGCACGGCGAAGCCTCAGAGCCACCACCACGTATATCCTCTATCAACTTCACAACATGACCCATCTTTGGACGGTGATCAGCCGCAACCGCGGTGCACGCCATAGCAATCTGCAACAACCCCACCATCTCTTCCTCTATATCCTTATACCTCATCAGCTCCAAATCAAACACTTCAGCCGTCCACTCCTCTCTCACCACTGATTGGACCCATCTCGGTAAATCCACCGCCCCACCCGCACCACCCGAATGACCCGTCTCCACCATATTAGGACATTTCCCAGTGAGAATTTCCAAAAGAAGCACTCCAAACGAGTAAACGTCAGACTTTTGCGTGTGTTTTCGACCATCAATCAGCTCCGGTGCACGGTAGCCATTGGATTTAGCAACAGTTTGCGATGGCGCAAAAATAGATAGCCCGAAATCGGAAACACGAGCATTGCCTGATCTATCGAGTAGCACATTGGTGGATTTGATGTCACCATGTGTGAGCTTCAAGGTTTTACACGAGCCATGGATGAAAGCTAAGCCACGCGCTGCACCCGCTGCAATCTTAAGGCGCGTGGTCCAGTCCAATGGAGTCCTACCCGGTCCACGGTTTCCTGTCCAAAACACAATCAAACACCAATATTACAAATTTTGCCACTTACCTAGAAAAATATGTAATTAGTCGCTTTATTAGTTACTAAAACAATGAATTAACAAATGGTTAGGTAAAGACAAACACTAGAAACTAAACATTCCCAAAAAGAGCAAGTTAAATGAGACAGATCAGAACTTTATTTGTCCAACTTGTTGCCAATGCTAGTATCTATCCAAAGACTTAAATTCTCATTATCTATATAGTAATAATAAATGCCCCATGAAAATGATTTTCCAACCATTTTTCTAACATATAAAAAAATGATAACTCAATTTCACTTAGTCCAAAAAAAATTAACCCTACTAATGTCATTTCCTTCTATGTACCATGAATTAAGAAATCACCTGTTTTGACCCTACCATTTCTCCTCCTATGGAAACATAAAGCTAAGCCAACTAATTAATGATTAATTTCCAGAATTAGTAAGAGAAAGGAACCGAAAACGACGACGTACCATGGAGAAGCCAGAAGAGACTACCATTAGGCATGTAATCATAAACAAGAAGCTTCTCTTCTCTAGCAAAGTAATAAGCTTTTAAGCTCACAAGATTAGTATGACGTAGTCTTCCTAAAACCTCCATTTGTTGCTCAAACTCTTTTTTTCCGGCCACCGTCACCGCATCTTTTAACCGCTTCACAGCAACCTCATTGCCGTCTTCAAGCACGGCTTTGTACGCCGTCCCGAATCCTCCTTTACCTAACATCTCCGCCGATGCTCTGAGAAGATCTTCAAGCTCAAAACGTCTAGTTCCTTCGAAAAAGACCATTTTACCCTTCTCACCACCTTGTTGATTCTGGTTGTTGTTTTGGGTTGATGTTGGGTAAGGACTTGATGAGTAAACAATCTTCTCTCCTTCAAGAACCTTTGAGTGTTTCTTCTTGTTCGATGAGTATTGTCTCCAGAAACAGTAGTAGAGAAGAAGAGAGACAAAGCTTAAGATAATGAAGTCTCCGAGGATGATAGCTACTAGTGAGATGGTGCTGATTCTCGTTGTGCTTTTGTCGCCGCCGTGAATTGAAGTTGGAGATGAAGGTACAGTTTCCGGGTTGTTTAAAGGTGAAGCCTTTGCTCCATCGGGTCGACCCGGTTTAGTCGGGTCGCTAGAGAGCTTGGTGCATTTTAGCAATGGAGCTCCACAGAGAGATGGGTTTTGTGTAAAGACTGATTCAGGGAATTGAGACAATGAATTTGGTATCTGACCGTTAAAGTTGTTACAGGAGACGTTGAAGTCTTGTAAATCGGAGAGGATGATGTTCGGTATCTGACCGGAGAACCGGTTTGATTCTAACCGGAGAGTGAGGAGATGGTTTAAATTGGTTAAATCCGGTTGAATCTCGCCGGAGAAGTTGTTGAAAGAGAGATCAAGACGGTAGAGACGAGTGAGTGAAGTGACTGATGAAGGAAAGTTACCGGAGAATTGGTTGTGTGATAAAAAGAGAAGCTTTAAAGCTGTGAGGTTCGAGAGGTTTGGGATTGGACCAGAGAGATTGTTATGTTTGAGACTAAGAACTGTGAGGGAAGTGAGTGAGGTTAGTGGTGAGATTGACCCGGTGAGTTCGATGTCTTCGAGGACAAGTCTTGTGACTCTGTTGCGGTTGCAGGAGACTCCGGTCCATTGACATGGGTTTGTTGTTGTGTTCCATGAGTTGAGTTTTCCGGTGGAATCTGCGGTGAGTTTGAAGTTTAAGAGAGTTTCTGAATCGGAGGTTGAAGAAGAAGAAAGGAAGCAACATTGAAGAAGGAAAAGAGAGAGAAGCAAATGCTTATTGAAGAAAGAGCTTTTGGCCATTGTTGCTCTGCGAAATTTGCAGAGAGAAAGAAAGTGAGAGAATAGAAACGAGCGTTGAGGACTTCAAGACAGAACAAGGAAAGTGGTATGGTCGTAATTAACGCAACAGAAACGTAAATATCTGTGAAATGACGAATATACCCTTCATTCTGATGAATCTAGACCGTACGATTATTTCAGATTTGACTAAAGGTTAAGGGTTTATATATAGTCAAAGGGTTTTGATTTTCCCAGTAACGGTAATAAAATAATAATGACAAATTTGGGGTTTTTGCTCACACGCGTGACTGTGATTCTCACGTGTTAAACTCTCTCCATGTGAAGAAGATTAATGGTCATAATTAGTCTCCGTAACCAAGAATTAAATTCTCTGTCAATCAAATCTTACAAATTCCAAAACTTCGTTCTTTATTAAATTTTTTCTTTTTTGCGTGATTTTTCCAAAGAAGGGACAATCTGGTAAATAAAGCGAAATGTGTGGGGCTTTCCTTTTTTTGGGCTTGTTGATTTATCGCTGCATAAACTGAGCTTTTTGGCCTTTTTCATGATAAAGCAGAAGAAGCTAAGCTTTCGCTTCAACAATGTATTTTTTGCTTGTTTCAAGCAAAATTGTTCCCCATCAAGCATAATTAAATAGCAACCTTACAAATTCCATTACTGTTTTTATTTTAACTAATACTACTAAAAATCTGACAAATCTGATGTTAGTTTTAAGTAAGTGTATGTATAACGAATATGTTAAGTCCCATAATTTCATGACAAATCTTTCTTTTTTTCAAAAATATAATGACTATGTAAAGTACTAAAGTCCCATAATTTCATGACAAAACTTTTAATTATGTTCAAATATGTTTTGGAAAGGAAAAAAAATCCGAATATAGAATAATCTTTTGCCTTTTGACCTTTTTCCAAAAACATAAGTTGATTGAGTAACAAGTAAAAATATACCAAAGGAGAACAAAATAGAGCGTATGCTTTAAGTGCAGGTCCTACAAAAGTATTTGAACCATATCATACGAAACTCGTGTTGTCCTTGGCTCCACATTACGACCATCCTTACGCAATCAATATTCTTATCTATATAGTTTGTGTTACTTATAGACATCAATCGGTCTGCTTCTTACAAAATAACAACATTTTAAAGAATGGTAAAGATAGAGAGTTTTTATCCAAACTTTTCATATATCTGTTTTGTTTTCAGCATGAACACAAGCTTTTTCACATTGTATACCAATCAATCAAACTCACTATATCGAACCCGATTCTAAGATCCATATAGAATCAGGACTACTCAAATTTTTATTCGAATGGTGGCATAGATGTAACAACAAAAGAACAAAAGAAGAAAGAATTATAATGAACGAATAGAGAGAGTGTGTGTGTGTGCAAGATGATGGAGATTACCATCTTTCATTCTATATGACTTTAACTCCGCTTGGGCGTTTCCCTTCCATCGCGTCCTTTTTGTCACGACAATCTGTGCATAAGAACGGTCCTTGCCACGGTTTTAGACTTGTCGAGAAGATTGAACCTGCGTGGACTGATATTCCCTCGCTTGGAGCTAAGTCTAGTTGGCATATTGCACATGTGAATATCCCTCCTCCTGTTGTTGATTCCTTGGAACAGTCACCTGATCCTAACCTGCGAGTAATAACAGAGAAAAGTTGTTAGATAGGACACAAAAGGCAACCATTTTCTAAGTCTTGAGGAGAACAAGGAGTGACCTTTCTGCGAGCATTGCGGAACCTTCTTCGAAGAGCTCTTCAACGATACCGACAGTGGAAAATTTCTTTGAGAGTTTGTTAGATGAATTTGATTTCTTTCTGAAGAGTAATGATTTAAAGAAGTTGTTGTGCTTCTTAGGAGGTGAAGGCGGTGGCTCTTGGAAGTTCTCGGGTGGGATTATGTCAACCACAATGCAGGTTGTGTCATCCTTAAGTCCCCTTTTTCTCAATGCTTCCTGCAACACAAACCTCATGAATCTATAGTCACTTCTTTCCAAGGAAAGATTACACAAATTTGAAACTGGTTTAAGAAAATTCATTTACCTTAACTACTTGTCTTGCAGCTAGATCAGCGGGTAATCCACGGCAAGTTTGGGCAGCCACTTCTGAGGAGAGAGCATCCCATATGCCATCCGAGGCGATAATAAGCCTTCCGCCAATGTTTGATAGCTTTAATTATATACACCAATTGTGAAGAACAACAGTATGAGATTTTGTTTGTGAAATGACATAACAAGTCTATAAGGAAACACCGAATATTTTAGTACCTTCACTTGCTTTACAAAGGGAACTGGAACAATGAACTCCCCGACATCCATATCCCCGATAGACCTTGAAAGGCAGAGACCTCCAGGCCAACACCGTAAAGGACCAATCTACAGAATTTCATATGTTGTTCAAGACAAGAAAGTGAGCTGCCGCTTAATGGGAAACACTAAATTTGAAAAAAAAACAGAACAGAACATACCTCAACACCTCCGACAATGCTTAGCCTGCCAACTTCTCCACCACTAGCAGTAACCCGTTCCCTCCTGAATCATGATAAAAGGGTATAGATTTAGATTGAGCTTCAACATCAAACAACAAAAGCTTTATTTCAGGTACATACTCTTCTGTATTATCTTCAAGCCTGTGATCCACAGTAAGGTTGGAAACAGAACCACCCTTAGTATCCAAGATGCACCGCGAATCCCCAACACACGCAACGGTCACAGTCCATCCATCTACTATCACAAACGTTGCTGTTGTTCCAGAAGTTTCCCCTGGTATCAAGAGAGGAATAAACCACACATCATTCATTCATTCATTCATCGATCAACCACAAGTAAAGATCCATCAAAAGAGCGAGTAAATGATTTGTAATTCACATACCTCTGCTCTGAAACTCCTTATCTGTCTTCACAAATCCAGAAACTAATGCACGAGGTAAAGCATGAAGCCACTCATCACGGCTAAGCCCACTAGGAAGAGCACTAATAACATGGTTCAACAGATTCTCCCTTGTATAAACCGCTGCCGCTTTTCCATTGTGCCCATCAAATACCTAATAGTCCAAAACACACAAAACTATAAACAATCATAACACAGAAACAAATGACACAAACAAAGTCAGATGCATCAATGGCTATTTGTCCACACAAATCATCTAGATGAACAATCAGACAGTTATAATATTATTTCGATTGTCCTAACACTCAAGAATATTCAATTTAGAAGTCTAATTGCAAAAGGAAGCAACATATCATGTCTTGCAAAATAAGCTATCAAGATCATGTAGCTGAGGTATATATACCGCAAAAACAGAGAAAGCAGTTGAAGAATTGGAAGGAACTCGAAGACTATCAGTCTTGATCAAGACATAATCTTCTCCTTTCCTAGATTGAGCAGCTTGTCCAAATCTCACAATAGGTTTCTCCATTTTAGCAGCTTTCGTCTCTCTACTAATCAAAGCAGCAAGAGGCACAAGCTTCTCATCCTCATGATGATTACGTCTCTTTCCTTCTTTAGACCCCATTGTAGCAACTTCTTGAAAGACCCTTCACGCTTTCAAACTTTATTGAGCCAAGAAGTCATGAATTCGTAGCCAAGAAACCCCCAAGATACAAACTTTACCTGTAAATAACATTGAAGAAGAGCAAATCTGAGTCATTTGGTGAAAAGGAAGTAGCTTTATATCTACTTCAAGAGAGGAGAAAACTAACTTAGTCCTCCGATGTTCTTCTTCTTCTTCTTCTTCCTCCGCCTTTTTGGTTTCGACAACAACAAATGCAGATCTGACTAAGGCAAACACAGAAAAGGGCAAAGAGAAGAAGAAGTATTAAAGAATCTCCCAAGGTAGAAGGAAAGCTTGACACGGAAGAAGAAAGAAACGCGTAATGGTGACTAGAAATGAACTGTAAATCAAACCCAATCATCCAAATCCACAAGAAAGAGAAAAAAGATTGTATTTTTCTAAGGAACAAAAAGGAGAACTTTAAGGAGAATCTGAATAAGAAAATACCCAGAATTATAGGTAGGTTGCAAACAAGAATCCAGGGAAAAAGATTGCAACTTTTTGTTTTTGTTTAATGAGTAGAAGAAGAAGAGGAGAAGAAGAACTGAAGTCGGTTTCTCAACATCTTCCTTTGTACCAAACACGAAACAAGTTTGGGTTTTGTTAAGGACAAAAATTGGATTAGATTAAGAGAAAAAAAAAAGAAAAAAAAAAGACATGATATGTTTGTTTAAGTACTTGTGCCGGTGAGAAAAATGGCTAGCTTGACCAAATGTGAGAAAGCAAGCTGTCACAAAAACCCCACATTCGAGGCTATGATTGGTGACATAGATTCTTATTAGCAATTCCTTTTTATGTTTTTACATTTATTTTAAGTAATAATCATTTTCGACTAATCTTTTTTCTTAAAAATAAGAGTGGTTTTATGATTTCAATATAAGTTTTGATCTCTTATTTTGCTCATATTTAATATTATTAATCAATAATGTAAAACAGAATAAAAGTTCAAGAGTCGACTGTTTTGCTAGGAGTATGATATAACATCTAATTTATGTCTCGATACAAACCAAATACTTGCTAATTTTAAGATATTTGCAATCCGGTTTCCTTTGTACAAGTAATTAAAGGGTTAGCTTGTTACTTGACATGTCTAAAACGAGTATTTGCTAGATCAAGTATTCTTCCAAAATTTGATTATTTGCAATTTACTTGATCTGTTTTGTTACTTGTCAAAATTAAATACTTATTACTTGAATCCAAAAGACTTGAAATGAAAATATCTATTTCATACATGTTATCCAATGTTGATGAGTTTTGTGGCAAGAGAATTTTGGATTTTAGTTTTTATGGATCAAATCAAAATTATAAATCTATATTATAATAATTTAAGCATTGATATTTTAGTAACGAGTAATTATAAATAAGTATCAAATAATTTTTAGCTAGTAACAAGTAACATAAATTTTTTTTTGTCTTGTTACTTGATTTGGATTTGCAAGTAATCTAATTTGCTGATTTGTTACTCGATTAATCTAAAGCAAATACTTGATTTTTTAAGTCGGATACGAGACAGGTAGCGAGTACAAATCGAGTAATGAGTAATTATGTCCAACAAAGTATACAAATTTTAAAATCTTATTCTTAACACTCTAAGGCCTAAGAAAACATCTCTAGATCTCATGAT